AAGATCTCAACTCCTTTTATAATAGCTGCAAAATAATAATAATAATAAAATACTTAGGAATATACCTAACCAAGGAGGTGAAAGATCTCTATAAGGAAAACTATAAAACACTGCTGAAAGAAATCATAGACAACACAAACAAGTGGAAGGAAACACATCCCATGTTCATGGATGGTTAGAATCAATATAATCAATATTGTGAAAATGACCACACTGCCAAAAGCAATCTACAAATTCAATGCAATTCCTATCAAAATACCACCATCATTCTTCACAGAACTTAAAAAAAAAAACAAAAAAAAAACCTAAATTTATATGGAGCTTATATATCCTAAAATTTATATTTACTCAGGACATGAAGTCTATCATATCTTTTAAATTCCCACCTTGATTTAAATGAGGGATTGCTGAAGGGCATTTGGGTTGCTTCCCTATTTTTGCAATTGTGAATTGTGCTGCTATAAATATGTGTGTGCAAGCATCCTTTTTGTATAATGACTTTTTCTCTGGGTAGCTACATAGTAGTGAGGCTGCTGGATCAAATGGCAGTTCTATTTTTAATTCTTTAAAAAATTTCCACACTGTTTTCCATAGTGGTTGTACTAGTTTACATTCCCACCAGCAGTGTAGAAGTGTTCCCTGTTCACCACATCCATGCCAAAAATCTATTATTTTTTGATTGTGGCCATTCTTGCAGGAGTAAGGTGGTATCTCATTGTGGTTTTGATTTGCATTCCCTTGATGATTCATGATGTTGAGCATTTTTTCATGTTTCTTGGTCATTTACATTTCGAGAATTGTTTATTCATTTCCTTAGCCCACTTTTTGATGGTATTGTTTGTGTTTTTCTTGATAATTTGCTTGAGTTTGTTGTAGATTCTGGATATTAGTCCTCTGTCAGATGTATAGATTGTGAAGATTTTCTTCCACTCTGTGGGTTGTCTGTTTGCTCTGCTGACTGTTCCTTTTCCCATGCAAAAGCTCTGTAGCTTAATTAAGTCCCAGCTATGTATTTCTGTTTTTATTGCATTTGCTTTTGGGTTCTTGGTCATAAAATCCTTGTGTAAGCCAATGTCTAGAAGGGTTTTTCCTATGTTACATTCTAGAATTTTTATAGTTTTAGGTCTTAGATTTAAGTCCTTGATTTACCTCGAGTGTATCTTTGTATAAGGTGAGAGATGAAAATCCAGTTTCAAATCCCAGCACCATTTGTTGAATAGGACGTCCTTTCTCCACTTTATGTTTTTGTTTGCTTTGTCAAAGATCAGTCAGCTATAAGTATTTGGGTTTATTTCTGGGTCCTCTATTCTGTTCCACTGGTCTATGTGCCTATTTTTATACCAGTACCATGATGTTTTGGTAATTATGGCCTTATAGTGTAGTTTGAAATCAGGTAATGTGATGCCTCCAGATTTGTTCTTTTTGCTTAGTCTTGCTTTGGCTCTGTGGGCTCTTTTTGGTTCCATATAAATTGTAGGATTGTAGGATTTTTTTTTTTTAGTTCTCTGAAGAATGATGGTATTTTGATGGGAATTGCATTGAATTTGTAGATTCCTTTTGGAAGTGTGGTCATTTTCACAATATTAATTATATTGATTCTAACCATCCATGAACGTGGGATGCGTTTTTACTTGTTTGTGTGGTCTATGATTTCTTTCAGCAGTGTTTTGTAGTTTTCCCTATAGAGAGCTTTCGCTTCCCTGGTTAGGTATATTCCTAAGTATTTTATTTATGTTTTTATTTTTTTGCAGCTATTATAAAAAGAGTCAAGATCTTGAATTGATTCTCAGCTTGGTTGCTGTTGGTGTATAGTAGAGCTACTAATTTGTGTACATTAATTTTGTATCTGGAAACTTTGCTGAACTATTTTTATCAGTACTAGAACTTTCTGGGAGGAGTCTTTAGGGTTTTCTAGGCATGCAATCATATTGTCAGCAAACAGTGAGTTTGACTTCCTCTTTACCAATTTAGATGCCGTTTATTTCTTCTCTTGTCTGATTGCTCTTGGCTAGGACTTCCAGTACTATGTTGAAGAGGAGTGGTGAGAGTGAGCATCCTTGTCTTGTTCCAGTTCTCAGAGAATGCTTTCAACTTTTTCCCATCGAGTATTATGTTAGCTGTGGGTTTGTCATAGATGGCTTTTATTACATTGAGGTATGTCCCTCGTATGCCGATTTTGCTGAGAGTTTTAATTATAAAGGGATTCTGGATTTTGTTGAGTGCTTTTCCTGTGTCTATTGAGATGATCATGTGATTTTTGTCTACTGAGATGATCGTGTGATTTTTCTGTGTCTATTGAGATGATGTATCACATAATTAAAATCCCTGGCATGAAATCCACTTGATCATGGCAGATTATCTTTTTTGATTTGTTGTTGGATTTCATTAGTTAGTATTTCGTTAAGGATTTTTACATCTATGTTTACCAGGGACATTGGTCTGTGGTTTTCTCTTTGGTATGTCCTTGCCTGATTTTGGTAGTAGGGTGATACTGGCTTCACAGAAGGATTTTGGGAGGATTTCTTCTTTCTCTATCTGTGGAATAGTGTCAATAGGATTTGTACCAATTTTTCTTCAAATGTCTGGTAGAATTCAGCTGTGAATCTGTCTGGTCCTGGATTTTCTTTTGTTGGTAATTTTTATAATTACCATTTCAATATTGCTGCTTGTTGTTGGTAGGTTCGGGGTATCTAATTCTTCTTGATTTAAGTTAGGAGGGTTGTATATTCCAGGAATTTGTCTGTCTCCTCAAGGTTTTCTAGTTTATGCACATAAAGGTGTTCATAGCAGCTGTGAATGATCTTCTGTATTTCTGTGGTGTCAGTGGTAATATTTCCTGTTTCGTTTCTAATTGAAATTTTTTGGATTTTCTCTCTTCTTTTCTTGGTTAACATTGCATATGGTCTATTAATTTAATTTATCTTTTTCAAAGAACCAACTTTTTGTTCATTTATCGTTTGTATTTTTTTGTTTCAATTTCATTTAGTTCTTCTCTGATCTTGCTTATTTCCTTTCTTCTACTTGGTTCGAGTTTGGTTTGCTCTTGTTTCTCTAGTTTCTTGAGGTGTGACCTTAGGTTGTCTATTTGTGCTCTTTCCGCCTTTGTGATATAGGCATTTAGGGCTACAAACTTTCATCTTAGCCGCTTTTGCCATATCCCAGAGGTTTTGACAGATTGTGTAACTATTGTCATTCAGTTCAAAAATTTTTTTAAATTTCCATCTTGATTTCATTGTGGACCCAGTGGTCATTGAGGAGCAGGTTATTTAATTTCTATGTATTTGCATGATTTTGAGTATTCCTTTTGGAGTTGATTTCCAGTTTTCTTCCACTGTGGTCTGAGAGAGTGCTTGATATAATTCCGATTTTCTTAAATTTATTGAGACTTGTTTTGTGGCCTATCATATGGTCTATCTTGGAGAAAGTTCTATGTGCTGACAAATAGAAAGTATATTCTGCAATTGTTGAGTAGAAGGTTCTGTAAATATCTGTTAAGTCCCTTTGTTCCAAGGTATAGTTTAAACCCATTGTTTTTTATTGACTTTTTGTCTTGATGACCTGTCTAGTGCTGTCAGTGAAATATTGAAGTCCCCCACTATTTTCGTGTTGCTATCTCATTTCTTAGATCTGGTAGTAATTGTTTCATAAATTTGGGACATCCAGTGTTAGGTGCATATATATTTAGGATTGTGATATTTTCCTGTTGGACAAGGACTTTTATTATTATATAATGTCCCTCTTTGCCTTTTTAACTGCTATTGCTTTAAAGTTTGTTTTGTCTGATATAGGGATTGCTACTCCTGCTTGCTTTTGGAGTTCATTTGGATGGAATAAATGACTTTAATATTTTGAAACTAGTTTTCATTCAGATCTTTGTATAATAGTATCAGTCTTTATAAATACTCCAAATGATTGATTTTCTTATAGGCTTCATTTGTTTTAGAGCAGGTAATGGAAAAATTGAGTGGAAAGTAGTTTCCACTATGCAATATAGTAGTTTTCACTTTCCAATATGCACAGCCTCCAAACTATCAATGCCCCCCACCCCAGAGTGGTACATTTGTTATAACTGATGAACTACACTGACACACCATTATCACCCACAGCCCAGAGTTTATATTAGGGTTCTCTCTTGATGTTGTATATTCTGTGGATTTGGACAAATGTACAGTGACATGTATCCACCATTGTGGAATCATAGGGAAGAGTTTAATTGCCCTAAAAATCCCGTGTTTCACCTTTTCATCCTTTGTCGCTCCCATCCCCTAGCAACCATTCATCTTTTTACTGTCTCCATAGCTTTGTGTTTTCCAGAATGTCATATAGTAGCTATCATAATATGTAACCTTTTCAGATTGATTTCTTTCACTTGGTAATATGTGTTTAAGTTTCCTCCATGTTTTTTCATGGCTTAATAGCTCATTTCTTTTTAGTACTGAATAGTATTTAATTGTGTGAATGGATAAATAACCACAGCTTATTTATCCATTCACTGTGTGATTGATTTTTGATATGGATTCTAATTTGTTAGGGGGATGGATCTCTATACGTCTTTTTATTTTTAGACACAGGGTCTTGCTATGTTGCCTGGGCTAGAGTACAGTGGCTATTTACAGGCATGATCATAACACACTGTAGTCTCAAATTTCTGGGCTCAAGTGATCCTTCCTTCTCAGCCTCCTAAGCAGCTGGGACTACAGATACATGCCACAGTGACTGGCTGGGGCCTATTTAATATACATTTCCTTTATTCCACTCTCAAACCCATCCAGTTGCCTAATACAGACCTGCAGGCAGAAGACTCTCAATAAATCTTAGTAAAATCCTCATCAGTCTGCCAATAACCCACACACTCAGGTGTACCTCTGATATCTTGGATGCATTTTTGCATTCACATTGTGCGTTATTCCTTACAGCTCTCTGATGGTATGTGCACACCTCACTGGAGCCAAAAAAAAGTCCTGTGCAAAGCAAAAACACCAAGGCACTGCCCCTCTTACCACTGTCTTCTTCTGTATCCATTCCTTATCTCGTTCTAATTTCTTCCTACGACGAACAACACGGCGAGGCTTTTGGATTTTTTCTGTCTCAGGCTTCTGAAGTGTTGGTTGGGTCGATAAAGTAAATGTGAAAGTGGTCGTCTCTCCTAACTTTAGAGCTGCTATTCAATCCAATGATTGCATTGTGTAAGATTTTGGTGGAAAAGAGAAAGGAAACTTAGATCTGTCTCTCTCAAGATGCCAGAGGGGTTTGAGGGTTTGGGAGATCTGCCATTTTATCCCAGTAGGAAGGCTGTCAGGTAGTGGAAAGATTAAGGCCTTTGAAGAGAGAAATGTTGGAGCTGACATGCCAGCTCACTCCGTTTGGTTACACATTCACTCAACATGTACTTATCAAGTGCCTAGTGTGTACCAGCCCAGTGCTAGATGCCTGAAATGACAGTGAAAGTCAACCTGTACAGATGAGGGGGGCATGCGTGGGCAACACAGTGCTATGCCAACTACAGCATAATGACAGGAGCACTTAACCCACTGAATGGTGTGGCTGCTAATTGAAAAAACAGGCTAAAGTCAGAGAGTCATCAGAAAAAGGAAACACACTATAAACATGTTATTGTTACTTGAAACAGAGTGTCTATGAACATGTCATTTCAAAGGTAAGACAAGACGCAGGTCTGATGACTGGGCTCTGTGATCATTTGTGTTCAAATCATACCAGTAATTGATTGACTGACTGAGTGAGACAGAATCTTGCTCTGTCACCCAGGCTGAATTGCAGTGGCATGATCTTGGCTCACTGCAACCTCCACCTCCTGGGTTCCAGTAATTCTTGTTCCTCAGCTGGGGTTATAGGCATGTGCCACCACACCGGGCTAATGTAGAGATGAGGTTTTGCCATGTTGGCCAGGCTGGTCTTGAACTCCTGGCCTCAAAGGATTATCCTATCTTAGCTTCCCAAAGTGTTGGGATTATGGGCATAAGCCACCACACCTGGCTAAGTGTGTGTGTGTGTGTGTGTGTGTGTGTGTATATATATATATATATATATATATATATATATATATATATATGTGTGTGTGTGTGTGTGTGTGTGTTTTAAAGCTTGCAACTTAGTTTTTGTTTCATAGCAACGAGTTTCTTTTTATATTCATTTTGTCCATTTTTATAACAATTGAATTTTGGAACTAGCAAGGACAACTGGTAAAATAAGCCTAGTGCCTTTTGATAAGTGTTTAATACAACAGCGGGAGCCGAGTGGCTGGAGCCATGGTGAGGGGCTTCCAGCTGTGGTATCAGCCAACACGCTCTTGGTGGGAGTGAGGAGTCCCAGCTCACTACCTAAGGAAGAGGTCAGTTAGGAGAGTGCTGTGTGTCCCATCATTGAGGCCAACACAGCCTGCCATGAGAACTCATGCGAGGGAACTTAACCAGGCTTTGATGCTGAGAAGACTTCCAGTGGAAGATAAATCTCTAGCATGTGATGGAGGAGTCCCAGAGTAAGCGCTGTGTAGTTGGAGGCTGGAGTGGGGATGGGTTAATGCTGACACAAGGTTCAGGAGAGGCAGGCAGGGCCCGCAGCTGCTATTCCGTAAGAGTTAGGTCAGGGGCATGAATTGGTACTGGGGGTAAGAGTACTCTCTTGAGAGGGAATCGAGACGAGACAGGGCTCAGCAAGAAAAAGTACTGTGATTGGTTAGCTATGTCTCCCATGAATATTGCTGTCATTTTCAGGTTGGGTCCAGTCACCTGGAAGATATTGCATATTGTAGTTATGAATTTTTAAGTGAAGGCAACTTAGTCCCTTCATTGAATTCTTCCATGATTAGATCCATGAAGCTGGCAACCTCCATGATTTGCAAATCTTAACAGCTGGACACAAATGCCTTTAGTCTCTTGGTAAAGGAGCTATTTCTTTCCCAATTTTTGCATTAATATTCCCTTCCTAGAGTACCCCACTCCTCCAAATCTGTGTTAGATCCCTTACTGTATGGTCCCACAGTGTCCTCTTCCCACAGTCCATGTCACCGAAATGCGAGGTGACTCACTCTGTTTGGATCGCCCACCTGCCCCTGCCACCAAGAGAGAAACTCACTGGGGCCCTAGACTGTGTCTGTCATGCTCGGTATTTCATCCCTGGCAGCCAGGACTACATTAGACCTGTAGGCACTGAAGCGAGTGAATGAGCCCTTCCGTCTCCTCTAGAGTACATGCAGAATGGGAGAGGTGATGGACACGGACAGGAGAGCTGGCACTGAGTGGAAAATTGTGGTGTGGTGCCTACCTTCTCGTCTCCTCTTAATCCATAAGATTGTTTCCTTGAACTTTTCATAATTTCTCTTCAACCTAAAAGTAAAGTGGATCATCTTTAAAAGCCAAGACTAGGTTCATGCATACATGCCATCACACAGTGCAGATGGTACTGGGACCTGCCAAGTCTCTTACGCAGGTAGAAATGGGGCCAATGGTCTCTGTTTCCTTCAAGTCAACGCCCAGGAGTAAAGGGTTGGTTCCTGATATCCACTCAATGCTTCCCTCGTGGTCTAACTGACCCACAACCTGGGCACGTGGCCAAATCCTAAACCCTTTGAAACAAATTCAACAAGGATAATCTTGGGGGCAGTTTACAGGGCAGGGAGGCCCAAATGCAAGTATGGCCCTAGGAGTTAACTCACACAGCTGGATTTGATTTTCTGTGGCTTGTCTATATGCCAGTGAGGGCTATGCCTGGAAATAGCTTGGAAAACCAGCCTCGCCTGTGAACTGGACAGAACCACCTGAAACCCCTTTGCATTTAATAGGACATTTTCAAATAGCCTTGCTCAAAAGGACTTATCATAAAAGCCACACAAGTCACAGCTCTTCAACGTGATCAAGCCCTTTTCTCCCTCTCATGTCAACACACAGAGCGAGTCATCCTGTTCTTGCAGTGGTGTGGACTGTTTTCCTTCCAAATAAGGGTGCTCTCCAGGGCAGCTGTGTTTTCTAGTTCTCAGATCAGAGCCCCTTTGAAGGGGAATGTGCCAGAAAGAGTGAGCTTCCCAGGCTTAATTGGATCTGAAAAGAAAGCCTTTGCCATTGCAGATTTTAAGTCCTTAGATCAGATTCCTTGAAGAGGGCATACTAGTTTAGCCCAGAGTAACTCCAGGAAGCAAACATCCTTTGCTGGAAAGGGCTGCACTATGTTACCTAGCACAGAGCAATGGTCCCCTTATTCATACCCAAGAAGCAATAGGAAAATTTGAGAATGAGTCCATGGTCCATTTGTACCAAATGTTATTCATTTTATATGCAAGGCCTTTTAATGGAATTGAAGTGGTTACCTAGCCTACTGGCACCTGTCAAAAAATAAGGGCCCAGGAATGGGTGGAGTGGGGGCCTATCTTTTAGGCTCAGAGCAGGAAACCAAACACAGACATGAGTTAAACTCCAGTGATGGGATCTAGCCGAGGCACCCAAGGCCCTTTTGGGAAGACCGGCTGTTCCTCTCTTAGTTTTTTGCACACCTTTGCAAGTGAGTGGAATTCCCATCAGCTGGCTCTTCAATACCAGAGACTGGAGTACTCGCTAGTGTATCCCTAGAGCCTAGATTAGCACATAGTAGATGCAGAGGAAATAGCTGTTGAGCAGAAGAAATAGCTGTGGAATGCAATCAGGTTATAATCAGCCTTTGATACAGGTGTAAATGGGACAAGAGGGAGGAAGGGGCACACAGGCAGTGGAATAACGCATGGAGGTGTTGTCTGGTGTTTTTGCTCTTCTGAAAGCTTGAGAGTTCTTTGTGTCTTGCCTTCCCCTTTCCTAAGAAGCCCTGGAGGTCTCTTATCCCATGCCTCTATTGAGTCCACAGTAGAAGTTGCTAGCAGTCAATCGCTTCCTGATTCTTGTGAACACCTGAACTTGCCCACATGATTAGGTAGGGCACCTTGTTCCCCACAGCCTGTACCTGGTGCCACTGCTGGAGACTCTGTGACAGACCCATGGGGACCCAAAGGCATACCTGGCTCTCCAGGTTTCTGACAGTGGATAAAGAAAAGACCAGGCTTCCATGCTGAGAGCATGTCTACACCACAGGTTGGGTGTATGATATGGTTTGGCTGTGTCCCTTCCCAAATTTTATCTTGAATTCCCATGTGTGGTGAGAAGGACCTGATGGGAGGTAACTGAATCATGTGGGCAAGTTTTCCCCATGCTGTTCTCTTGATAATGAAAAGTCTCAAGAGATCTGAATGTTATTATAAAGGGGAGTTTCCCTGTATGAGCTCTCTTTTCTTGTCTGCTGCCATGTGAGATGTGCCTTTCACCTTCTGCCATTATTCTGAGGCTTCCCCAGCCATGTGGAACTGTAAGTCCATTAAATATCTTTCTCTTGTAAATTGCCCAATCTTGGATATGTCTTTTTTTTTTTTTTTTTTTTTTTTTTGAGACGGAGTTTCGCTCTTGTTACCCAGGCTGGAGTGCAATGGCGCGATCTCGGCTCATCGCAACCTCCGCCTCCTGGGCTCAGGCAATTCTCCTGCCTCAGCCTCCTAAGTAGCTGGGATTACAGGCACGCGCCACCACGCCCAGCTAGTTTTTTTGTATTTTTAGTAGAGACGGGGTTTCACATGTTGACCAGGATGGTCTCGATCTCTTGACCTCATGATCCACCCGCCTCGGCCTCCCAAAGTGCTGGGATTACAGGCTTGAGCCACCGCGCCCGGCCCTTGGATATGTCTTTATCAGCAGTGTGCAAAGGGACTAATACAGTGAATTGGTACCGGTAGAGTGGAGCACTGCTTAGACAGCTGAAAATGTGGAAGTGACTTTGGAACTACGTAACAGGTAGGTGTTGGAACAGTTTGGAGGTCTTAGAAGAAGATAGGAAAATGTGGGAAAGTTTGGAACTTCCTAGAGACTTGTGAATGGCTTTGTCCAAAATGTTGATAGCAATATGGACAAAAAAGTCCAGGCTGAGGTGGTCTTAAATGGAGATGAGGAGCTTTTTGGGAACTGGAGCAAAGGTGACTCTTGTTATGTTTTAGCAAAGAGACTGTCAGCATTTTGCCCCTGCCCTAGAGATTCGTGAAATTTTGAACTTGAGGGAGATGATCTAGGATAGCTGGCAGGAGAACTTTCTAAGCAGCAAAGTATTCAAGAGATGGCCAGGCCCAGGGTCCCTGTGCTGTGTGCAGCCTAAAGACTTGGTGCCTTGCATCCTAGCTGCTCTAGCCATGGCTGAAAGGGGCCAACATTGAGCTTGGGCCATGGCTTCCGTGGGTGCAAACCCCAGGCCTTGGCAGCTTCCACATGGTGTTGAGCATATGAGTACACAGAAGTCAAGAATAGGGGCTTGGGAACCTCCGCCTAGATTTCAGAGGTGGTATGGGAATGCCTGGATGCCCAGGCAGAAGTTTGCTGTAGAGGCAGGGCCCTCATGGAGAATCTCTGCTAGGGCAATGTGGAAGGGAAATGTGGGGTGGGAGCCCCCACACAGAGTCCCCAGTGGGGCACCGCCTAGTAGAGCTGTGAGAAGAGGGCTACCATCCTCCAGACCCCAGAATAGTAGATCCACTGACAGCTTGCACTGTGCATTTGAAAGAGCCTCAGGCATTCAATGCCAACCCGTGAAAGCAGCTGGGATGCAGGCTGTACCCTGCAAAGCCACAGGGGCGGATCTGCCCAAGAACATGGGAACCTAACTCTTGTATTAGTGTGATCTGGGTGTGAGACATGGAGTCAAAGGAGATCATTTTGGAACTTTAAGGTTTAATGACTGCCCTATTAGATTTTAGACTTGCATGGGGCCTGTAGCCCCTTCATTTTGGTCAATTTTTGCCAGTTGGAATAGCTGTATTTATCCAATGGCTGTATCCCCATTGTAATTAGGAAATAATTAACTTGCTTTTGATTTTACAGGTTCATAGGCAGAAGGGACTGCCTTGTCTCAGATGAGACTTTGGACTGTGAACTTTTGGGTTAATACGGAAATGAGTTAAGACTTTGGGGGACTGTTGGGAAGGCATGATTGGTTTTGAAATGTGAGTACGTGAGATTGAGGGGGGTCGGTGACAGGATGATATGGTTTGGCTGTGTCTCTACCCAAATCTCATCTTGAATTCCCACATGTTGAATTACCCCATGGGAGATAATTGAATCATAGAGGCAGGTCTTTCCTATGCTCTTCTCATAATAGTGAGTAAGTTTCATGAAATCTGATGGTTATGATAAGAGGGAGTTTCCCTGCACAAGCTCTCTTCTCTCGTCTGCTACAATGTAAGATGTGCCTTTCACTTTCTGCCATGATTGTGAGTTCTCCTCAGTCACATGGAAATTTAAGTCCATTAAATCTTTTTCTTTTGTAAATTTCCCGGTCTCAGGTCTTTATCAGCAGTGTGAAAATGGACTAATACAGTATACAAATGGCATTCTGGAACATTTTGTGATCTGGGGCCTTGCCAGCTAGAAAGATCTGGTGTCAGCGATACAGGTCTACAGTAACCTTACAGGGGCCCTGGCCATGACCCCAGATCAGTGAAGCTCAAGGCTCTCCCTCCTTCAGGATGCATGGAAAAGCATTAGCTCACCTAGCATGAAGCCGAGGAATTTAGTGGGAAGATGTCCCAGGTCTTGACTCCCCAGTGTCTTCTTAAATGCCAGGGGTCTGAACGTTGCTTCCTAGACTTTTGTGCAAGTTCATGGTCCCTGCAAGACATTTTCTTGCCCTGGATTTCCAGCCTCTGCCACCGTCTGCCTTGATCCTATCCTGCACCTCCCATGCTTGCAGAGTCCTTGCTCTTGAGCTCTGATTTTGGTCTGGCAGCTGGATAATTCTGCCCATCTTACCCTATCCCTGTGCTTGGCCTGTGCCTGCTCCTTGACTGAGGGGGACCTTCCTGGCTCTGACTTTGCTCTTTTTCATGGTTGCTCTCCCTGCTGCCACCTCTGGAATACCCAAATCCACTGACAAACCACTCAGCCTCACCAGTTACTTACATAATTACCAGTTTCCATCTGTTTTCACTTTCCAGTAGCCTAGTTACGGGAATGTCGAAATCCTCTTCCAGTTCATTGCGATCAGCCATTTCTTTGACTATTGCTTTAAACACTGCCTGATAGGAGCTGTTCAAAAACTACAAAAGGACCAAAGAATGAAATATTCAGAAAATAGAAATTAATGATTTATTATTATTTTTCTGACTCCCAAAGGTACTGTGTGACACTTCAACATATTCAAAAAACACAAAAATGGGAAGAAGGGGGCAGAGGGAGGGACAGCATCAGGAAGAAAAGCTAATGGATGCTGGGCTTAATACCTAGGTGACGGGATGATCTGTGCAGCAAACCACCATGCACGCGTTTACCTGTGTAACCAACCTGCACATGCTGCACATGTACCCTGAATTTCAAAGTTGAAGACAGAAAACGGGAACCAATGAGTGGTTAGCAAGAATTCCTTTAAAGAGTATTTCCATGATCATCATACCCTCTTCTTACTCCTCTGTTTCCTTAAGAATTTTTTAAAACATCAGTATGCCAAAAGATCTTTGGGGAACATACAATTATCTTCTTTCTCCAAACATGGAGAGATGGGTATGGAATGTAAAAATGCTTCCATGCTTTAAGACCATAATAAGGTTTCGTCATTCTGCAAATGGCCAAGCTCCCAGTGGTGGTTGATTTATTCAACGTGAAGACTGAGTCTTCAGGAAAGTAGCATAGTACCTTGTGCATCACTGTATTGGGCAATTCTGCTTTTAAAGATTCTTCCAGAGTAATGACATTATAAGCTGCCTTTTTTTTTTTTTTTTAAATGGAGTTTTACTCTGTCGCCCAGGCTGGAGTAGAGTGGCATGATCTAGGCTCACTGCAACCTCCACCTCCCAGGTTCAAGTGATTCCTATGCCTCAACCTCTTGAGTAGCTGGGATTATAGGCTCGTGCCACTATGCCCAGCTAAGTTTTGTATTTTTAGTAGAGATGGGATTTTACCATGTTGGCCAGGCTGGTCTTGAACTCCTGGCCTCAAGTAATGCACCTGCCTCGGCCTCCCACAGTGCTGGGACTACAGGTGGGTGCTGCAGCACTTGTCCACAAGCTGCCTTTTTATTTGGCCACTTTGATCATTCCCTCCCATGTCTGTGCTGCTGACCAGGACTGACCCATCGGTGGGTCTTCACTGGAGTTTCTGTTGTGGATCCCTTTTGATGGAAAGTGAAGCTGGCTTCTTGGAGAGGACAGCCAGGGATTGGTCGTGTTTCCTGTTCTTTGCTCACCAACAGGTTGAGATTGCTGTTGTTGTTCAACGTGTGATTGTGGAGAATATACCATTAACTCACTCGCCTCTTACAGGCAAGTGGAAGACCAACATATCCGACGATGCACATGAGCTGGGACAGATAGAAGGATATGACATAGCTAGCCGGTGTTTCTAGGTTGGGGAGAAAGCTGGGGTGCTTTAGGTCCGGTTTGCCTGACTCCTAGCCCCTGAGCCCTGTCTCTCTCTATTTCTCGGGTCAGTGCTTCTGGACAGGTCGAGGAGAAGGACTTTGCTGCCCACATTCCTGCTTCTAAATTCCTCATTGTTGACAATCCCTCCTTTGGGATGAAGTGATTTTCTGTTTGCTTAGGCCAGCCATCTACCCCTATTCTGTCTGCATTTTATGTTCTGTACTCCAGAAAATACAGTATCTGTTGTGGCCTGCTAGATGGCTGACCACCTGGGTGGGTCTAGTTGAGGTTATCTAGACTGTGCCACCCCAGTCTATGAAGCCAGCATATATATGACATCTTATGGGGTTTATTCCATTTGCTTGCCCAGCCTACAGAGTGGAACTACCCCCATCATCGTGGAAGGTGTATTGGGCACCTCAGTGATGAGGTCTTTCATGCCTGGAGACCTCTCCTGGGTTAATATCTGGTTCTTGCAACCAAAAGAATTTTCACAGCAAGGTTTGTGATGCATGAGTGTATCATTGAAATAAGAAATGAAGGCTGGGCATGGCAGCTCATAGCCATAACCCCAGCACTTTGGGAGGCCAAGGCAGGTGGATCAGTTGAGCCCAACTCTGCCAACAGCTTGATTTCATATTTCAAGTCTTCAGAACTGTGAGACAGTAAATTTTGTTGTTCAAGCCACTCAAAGGTGGCACGTTGTTAACAACAGGCCTTAGCAAACTAATACAGATTCCAAATCAAAATCTTTAGCCAACAGCTTTCTCCCAGGACCTAGATTGTATATTTTGGTTTTCAATTGAACTTTATCTGGATATCTTATGGGAACATAATACTGAGTGTGTATCAAACACAACTTTCTACTTCACCCTGCAAATGTACCCTTCTTCTCTTCAGCTTCCCAGCCTATAGAGTATAAATCTACACCAACTGATAGCAGCTGTTCTGGGCACTGCCCTGAGCTGCCAGGCTTTCCCATTTATTCATCTGTACTGCTACATATTACTAATCTTCCTGCCCTCAGCCTCTCCCCTCCAATTTATTATCCACAAAGCCACCAGGGTGACCTTTAAAAATGCAAATTTGATCCTGTCCGTGGAGAAAGAACTCAGTATTGGTGGGGGCTTTGGCTAGATCCCCTATGCCATATTCTTTCCCCCAAATAAATTCCACATAGTTTTAAAGAGATCCCTTGGGGATTTAGAAGAAAACAATGAATGAATTATAAAAATTCTCTTGAAGAGTGAAAAGACCTCTCTACACATGAAACAATACTCAGTAAGCAGAAAAGGAAGCATTGCTACATGAGACTACCTGCATGTAAAAAATGATCACATCATGAAAAATACCAAGAAGAAGTTTGGAAAACAAAATGCAAACTGGAAAAAAATGTACATGTATGCCTGAAAAAGAATTAAGGTCTTTCATATATTAAAAGCCCTTACAAATCAGAAAGAAAGAGAAATAAGCAACATGGGAGAAGAGAAGGCAACACCAACTGGCCAGTCACAGAGAGACACAAATGACCAATAATTGTGAAAATGCCCAGCACCTTTCATAATGGAGGACATGCAAGAACCAATAGTGAGATGCTATTGTCACCCTATCAGATGGGCCAGAATTATGACCCTTGGTGGTTGAGGATATGATGAAGGAGGCATTCTCAAGCCCTCTAGGTGGGAATAGGAAAATGGTACAACGTACGGGAGGTGCCGGGGGTGGAATTTGTCAATGTTTTTTGAGCTAAAGATGAAGATAGCTCTGGGCCCAGCATCAACTGCTAGGAATTTATTCTTTAGATTCATTTGCATTTGTATGTAATATCGATAGAATTCATTGCATTGAAAATTATATATATATATATATATATATATATATATATATATATATATGTGTATAAACCCAAGCTTTCCAAAATGTTATTAAGGGAAAAGTAAGTTATAGAACAGAATGTACATCATGATTCCATTTGTGGATATGCATTTTTTTTTTTTTTTTGGATATGCAGGTTTTTAAAAGACATATATATGTGTATATGCGTTAAAATTTCCAGGATACATAAATAGCAGTTATTTCACTAACATAAGGAAGTAGAGGCTTGAAACATTTATAGTCTTTTTTACTACTACAATATTTTAAAATGGTGTGCACATGGTAGCTTCCCAATGCAAAATCTAGGTAGTTTAGGTTGTTTGAATCAAAATACTTAAAAAAAAAAAATTGAAAACAAGTCTGATAGTGTCACATTCTTGCCTAAAATCCTTCAGTAGCAAAGCCCTGAAATGGCAAGGTGCTTGTGATGACAGCTCCCTTGCTCAGCCCACCTGTCCCAAGGAAAACTCTGGAACGCTTCCAAATCTACCATGTCCTTCCAGAATCTACATGGAGGATATGACTGTCACCTGAGAATGCAGTGCCACCGGATATAGCAAAACATCAACGGACAGGAGCCTTGAGGCTTTCTGAGTAATTGTGTCTAATTAAAACAAATCCTTGAGGTTTCAACTCTAGTTGAAAAATTTTTCCAAAATGCCCAATTTTACTTTCCTGCCTTTGTAAATCCAAAGCAGTAAATCTAAATTTGTCATTTCCCCGCCCCCCTTCATTGTAGTATTTTAGTATTCAAAAAGTAAATCTTAGTAATACAGTGCTGTGTAGAGGCAAGTATAGAATTTAGGGCTAAATATGAACTGAGATGAGACAATTTCTCAATTAAAAACATTAAAAAATGAAATATCTAGTTTTTTTCCCTTTTATGAATTTAGGAAAATATATCTGCTTAATTTTGGGTTTCAGAGACCCAAGATTGCACTCTTAGGGTTGTAGTCAGTACGTACAATGTGAGAAGTCTTTTTAGCAGTCGAAGACAGGATGAACAATAATGCTTCCCCTCGAATCAGCATGGGGTGTAAGCCCTACAGGTAAATTGATGCAGGAAATCTGAGCCACGAGGCTGCCCCTGCAGGCAAAACATTCGTGTGGCATATTTACAAAATCATAATAAAATTTTTCTTTTAAAGACAAGAAAACATCCAGTGGATGTAAGGCTTATCAAAACCATGATGACGTCCCAGCTCCTCTCTGGTGATTGGAAACAGCTGGGGAGAGCACCCTGTTGAATGTCCAGGGCTGATTGTGTGTCCCTCTGCAGGGTGGTGGTTGTCACAGGCCTGCAAAGATGGGAGAGAAACACCACAATTTGTTGTGTCTACCTGGAGTAAAGAGGTTAGTGTCTGGCGTTGTCTGTCTTGCCAGGTTGCCCCACCTCCACCGAGGGAGGAGGCTTTCCTTGGGGCTTTTCCGTCTGTGTGTGTTGGAGTTTCTGGGTTGCTGTCTTCTCTAACACCCAGTCTGGGATATATGAGGCAAAAAGAAAACCCAGGTCCTTAGACCCCAAGTCCTCAGCCAGCCTGTCTGGGCTGGGGCCACCTTGGTCCAACATTTGGAGGAAGCGGGGAGGGGGGTCTCAGGTTTTTATCCGACTTACATTTTCATCTAAGTCCTCCACTTCCAGCTTGTCAATGGCCTCATCTGTTACACCATCCCAAAAGTCCTCCGTAGAAGCATACTCCGTGTCTTTCAATTTTGGAAGGTGTGTCGAAAGGAAGGGCACGTGGAAAGAAAATCAAAAGTATAAAAAATTAAGAAAAATAGAAATAGATTGATGGTATTTAGCCTTGTCCTTCCAAAAAAAAAATGCAAACATCATCAATGAGATGTTAAATAAGTTAATCACAGGACCTAAAATTCAACTTGGGGTTACTAATAGGAATAAGAGGGTTCGCTTCAGTGGCCGACTTAAGAAAGCGAGTGTGTGTTCCTGGTGGCTGGTGAGGGTCAGTCTGACAAAGTGGTCTTTGAATGAGTCTCAGGTGAAGTAAGGGAGTGTGCAGGCAGAAGGCCATGGATGAGCATTCCCATGTATTCCGGCAGAGGGCTAGGAGGTGCGAAGGCCCTGTGGTTAGTGTGGGAGGGGTGTGTTTGATTCATGGCAGGGGGAACCATATGATATGCCCGCAGTAGAGCAGACATGAAGTTGCACAGCCTGAGGGGAGGTCAGAGAGGAGTCGGGGGTGACTGGGGCAGGGAGGAATAGGTGAGCAGGTGGTGGGCTAGGGCCAGCTTTCAAAGGACCTTGTAGGCCATGGGAAGGACTTTAGATTTTGTTCTGAGGGAGACTTATTCTGAGTGTGATTTTCACTTGGAAATTTCAAGAAACATATCTGTCTTCCACCAGGCTTGTCAAAATTTGCCAATTTCTACAATTGCATGATTCATAATTACTAATCAGAGCATAAGAGATGAATCCCCAAGCCAGTGAGCTGGATGGAGAATGTCTTCCAGAGACAGTGAATGCCTCTGTTCCCAAAGGTCAGCTGCAGTCTGGTGGCTCTCCGGGCCAGGAGAGTGGCTTCGAGCCTCTGGGGAGCCTGGGTGCAAACTGAATTGTGGAATTGATCAGTACAACTTGGGTCTCTCCATACACCTGGGAAGGTGTGGATTCTGAGAGAAGAGCTCAGAGGAAGTGGCTCTGGAATGATAATTGGGCCCCCTGGAAGATGATGGTGGACAATTGTCTCAGCTTCTGGATGACACCAGCCCTTCCCAGCTGGCTCCTCTGGAGAGCCTGGGAACCCTACCAGACTGACTCTGGACTGACATCCTGTTTGATTTTGTGTCCTTATTATGCCTTTGGGGACAGAGATGGGATGTTCTTTGTAATCTCTACACATTACTTTTGTTCTTCTTCCCAGTTTTGCCTCCGTAGCAAAAACTCTGATTCATTCGGGCTCCTCCTGGGATGGAGAATTTTACTGAGCTTGGGCTGCCTTTACCCACACAGGCCTGGAGCCTCTGCTTTCAAACTTCCTTCTGCCGCCTTGGCTTGTGCCTGACAGACTTGCCATGATGTGGTGGGCCCCATGCTTCCAGAATTCCCTGGCAATTCTTTTTCATCACTTCCCACAGGTGCCCACAATGCCACCACCTCTGGGGTACCCACAACAGGGCAAAGGCAAGGGCATGCTCCGCTTGACTCTAAAAACACTGTGTGTTCCCAAACTGTCTGCCGTGGAAATTACCAAGGAGGTTTTAAAAAACCATTCAGGAAAACCGAGCAAGAATCCTTGGAAATTCAAGCAAGCACTGGAGAAGCTCCGTGTGGGTGTCATTAGAGAGGAGAAATGAATGAATGGTAGAAAATGGGCCTGGGAGACCAAGGAGCAGGCTGTCGTGTAAGATGCTCTGAGCCTGCCTCAAATGTGCCTGCCCAGGATGGAGATGAGGATGGCTGTGCCCCTGGTAGCTCAGCAACGCCCCATCATTTGCATTTGCCTTATTTTAGTAGTCTTTTTTTTTTTTTTTTGAGTAATACATAGTTAATTTGATGTGGTGAAAAAGGGGGTATTTATCATGGGAAGAAGGTGAACTTGACAGCACTGAATACTCAACAAGCGTGCTCAGCAACATTCAATTCAACGTAATAATTAAGCTTATTAACATTGCTGGGCACTGTCAACATGTCAGGTGTAAATAAGCGGTATCATAGCTGTAACTGGGGCTGAATGAGAAGGGAAAGCCTTATTTCTAATTAACTTTCCGTCTGGGGACATCTGTCAACCTCTACCTCTCTTCTAGTGAGATCATGATCTTCTCCTGAAGTCACTCCACGGGAGGATGGGAAGGGCCGGGGGGAATGTCAGGCCAAGTTCGAGTGGCAGCCCTGTCATCCGGAACCAGGGCCACCTCTAGCATGTCCCCCTTGCATCCCAGCTCCTTATATGTGCAATGGGACAATAAGACACATCTTGAGGGTGGCTCAGAGGGGCTAATGCAGGTGCCAATGAAGGTCAACGCCAGCACATTCCGTTCCCCGGGTGAAGCATGTCTTCCCTGGTCTGGTTAAGAGCAAATCTTAATTGTTCCTTACTCAAGTGCCTCTCCTCTAACATTTTTCTTTTTTATTTAAAAAAAAATTTAGGGACAGGGTCTCTCTCCATAGCCCAGGCTGAATTGCAGTGTTGTGCTCATGGCTCACTGTGACCTGGAATGCCTAGGCTAAAGCGATCCTCCCACCTCAGTCTCCTGAGTAGCTGGGACTACAGGCACACACCACCATGCCTGATTAATTTTTTAAATTTTTTGTAAAGATGAGGTCTTGTTATATTATTGACCAGGCTAGTCTCAAACTCCTGGCCTCAAGTGATTCTCCATTTGTGGCCTCCCAAAGTGCTTGGATTATAGGCATGAGCCACTGCACCCAGCCTCTTGATATTTTTGTTGACAGAACCATCATTCTTGAATTTGGGATAAATGAGCTTTGTGTATTTGACCTGAGGGCATATACATATATACATATACATGTATGTGCGTGTGTGTATTTTCCACGTTATGTGACATAGTTTCTTTGCTTGACCAAACTTTAGTTAGGCTTCCAAATCTTCTCCTAGGCCCATCTGTACACTTCTTATAAAATCCAGTTTTAGCAAGAACCTGCTAAGTTGGCTAACAAGAACCCCTACCCTTGATATCTGATCTCATTCAATATCAAATGAGGTTCTTCATCCTCCATCATCACCTGGGTAATATCTGATCCCTGACCCATCTTCAGCAAGAATCCTATTAGGTTGGTTTATTCAGAATCCCCCATGCCCTGATGTTTCCTCTTAGTAATTTTCTCTCCACTGACCTCTACCCTGCTCCTTGGCTACAAATCCTCACTTGCCCATGCTGTATTTGGACTAGGGTCCAAGCTCTTTCCCCTCCTGCAAAATCTCATTGCTGTGGTCTCTAAACTTGTCACAGTGGCTCTGAAGAAAGTCTACTTATTGTGCTTTAACAAGTGTCAGTGAATAATTTTTTCCTTAACAATAGATGAGGAAAGGGAGAGAAAAGCAGTAAGTGACTAGCCCAGGACCAGCTCTGAGAAATGAGCATGCCAGTGCCACTGACTGATAAGCACACAGGTGACACTCAATCCTATTTTCACCTCCTCCATGCTTCACAGTAATTCCCCACTATCCTAGGCAGATGGCTAAAGAGCTGGGTTGGGCTGGTGGCTGCTGTGGGCGCAAATCTATAAAGTGTTCTAAAATCTAGCTACTCAAACTGTGGTCCATGGATAAGGGAGCTTGTTAGAAAGATGACAGCTGGCCAAGCATGGTGGCTCACGCCTATAATCCCAGCACTTTGGGAAGCTGAGGAGGAAGGATTGCTTGAGCCCAGAAGCTGAGACAAGCCTGGGCAATATGGTGAGACCTGGTCTCTAAAATAATAAAAAAATTAACCAGGCATGGTGGCATGCTCCTGTGGTCTCCGCTACTCAGGACGCTGAGATGGGAGGATCACTTGAACCTGGGAGGTGGAGGCTGCTGTGAGCTGTCCTCATGCCACTGAGCTCCATTCTGGGCAACAGAGCAAGAAACTATCTAAAGAAAAAGGAAAGGTCAGATTTCAAATCTCAGATCTGCTGAATGAGAATCTGCTTTTAAACAAGATTCCAGGTAGCTGTCCCACACATTAAAATTTGAGCATCACAGCTCTAAAATGCCCATGGAAATGGAATAAGATGGAGAAAACTGCTTACCAGTACCCTTCTGGCGGTGTGATGGGGTGGGTGGGATGCATGCTCTTGAGTTCACAGGAGTTCATTTGATAAGCCATGGTGTGGGAGTGGGGGTATAAGCAGCTGTTGTGTGTGTGTAAGACCTGATCTCTTGCCTGCTACTCCATGTTCAAGTAAAACAGATCTTAGTCCTTCAATTGTGTTCTAATGAGGATGTGTCTGGTTAACTTCAGCCTTTTGTTTTGTGGAGTGGTACTCGCAAGTTGGGATTCTGCTGCCCTAAGGATTCTCCTGTTCTTCCCCCTCGTAGGATCCAACCAACCGCCTCTTAATAAACATGTAATAAACCTCCAATTCGCTCACTGCCAAGATGCCATAGGACCCTGAATCTACCTGGGGAGGTGCCGGAATCCCAATGAAGCCCTGCTCCCAGGCCTCTGGGAATCCAGCAACCCACTGAATGCTCTTTAATGTGGTCCCTATCCCAAGCTTTTGAATAGGAAGATGGACTTTCAGTCCTGTCCCTTCAGAAACCTTCTCTGTTTCTTGTGTTAGCCTCCTCCTTGGGGGGGTTCAGGGGCTGTGTGCCCAGCATGCCCCTCAGTCCCCTCTGGGCCCTGGGACACACTGGATTGGAGAGGGTGCCACCTGCCAGAGGCACCCTTCCCCACAGGGCATGCGGCAGAAAGCAGGGACCTGTGGATATATTATGTGAGACGCTCACCATCTTCCTCTTTTTGCTGTACTTTAGTGTCAACATACTCAAAAAAGAACAAGAAAAATTATCAGAAGGATATGGTATGGTGAACTAGTCTGGACCTTTTAATCCCTGAGGGAATCAACTGAAAAAAATCACCTCCTAGGTAGCTGGGAAGCCTTAGGGTGGAGGGCACGTGTTTTGGGATAAGAGGCTTCCTGATCTTCAGCAGTTGGAGGCCTGCAGCACGTGCTCACCAAATGCTGATTTCCCCCCCTTTTTTTTTGGTTCTCATCTTATCTTGCTCACTAGAGTTTAGGTTCTGAGAGGGCAAGATGGGTTTTGTCTACTTTATATCCTGCCTCATATACAGTAAGGATATAGTAAGTGTCATTGTATTAACTAAGTATGGGTAACACTATTATCTTCCCTCCTAATTGCAGGGATAAATATTGTTTCCTCTCCTTTCAAAACGCCACAGTGCTCTACCCTCTGGCTCAGTGTCTTACCTGAGCCTGGTGCCTAGACATTAAATTCCAGAAATAATGCCTTGGTCATTGGCCTCCATTAACCCTCTCCATTCTAAAACGGCCAACAGCATGCTCTGCTTGGCTGGAGGCAGGCTAATTCTGTACCTCTTACCTTCTCCACGATGGATGACTCACTTCTACAGATCATTTAAAATCATCATAAACTTTACCTCTCAAAGCAGGCTTCTTGGTGGTTTCTTGCTCTGTTGTTGATTTTGATTTTAAAGATTTTACTGTTAAAAGGCGGAAGAGAGTGGCCATTAGTGATTGAAACCTCACATTTTCCAATGGGTTCAGACTGGGAGTTTGGGGTCTCAGGTTCTTTCTTGGCACCCAAGGCTGGTCAACAGTGCAGGGGGTGGGTATCTGAGGCTGGCGGGCACATCCAGCACATATAGATGCCCCACTGCACCCCACCCCCTTTGGCCTTGGTAAATCACTCTAGGATTGCAATAAATTAGAGGTCGGAAAATGTAAACTTGTTGTGGCCTTCTCCTCTGGTTACCATAAGGCTAGTTTGGGTCCTCAGGATAGATGGAAGGGCTGAGGCAAGGTGGGAGGAAGGTTTTAGAGGTACCCCTCCTGCGATGGGAACCATAGAGCCAAGTGGCTCCAAGGCCATGTAGACACACAGTGCGTGTGCCTGTCACTGTACTAAGTAGCATGTCTGTTCGTTGCCAAGAGGTGTGTGATGGGGACTGGATGGGAAACATGGGGACTGTCTAGAATAGATCTGCTGAGATTTGCAATGGGAAGCCACTGTGTGTGTATATACATGCATTTAGGACTTTTGTAAGTTCTTGATCATCCTTGTTTTCTGTCTTTGGAACTTTATGATCCCCGTTCGTTTTTGCCTCTTACCCCCTGGTGTTTGTCTTCCTACTCCTAAATACTAAACCCATGTGCACATGTGTGTGCACACACACACGCAGACATGCACACATACATGCTCTACATTCCATTCTTTTTTTTTTTTTTTTTTTTTTTTTTTTTTTTTTTTTTTTTTTTGAGACGGAGTCTTACTCTGTTGCCCAGGCTGGAGTGCAGTAGTGCAATCTCAGCTCACTGCAACCTCCACCTCCCAGTTGCAAGTCATTCTCCCCCTCAGCCTCTCAAGTAGCTGGGACTACAGGTGTGTACCACCACGCCCAGCTAAGTTTTGCACTTTTAGTAGAGATGGGGTTTTGACATGTTGGCCAGGCTGGTCTCGAACTCCTGATTTCAGGTGATCCACCCACCTCGGCCTCTCAAAGTGCCGTAATTATAGGTGTGAGCTACTGTGTCTGGCCCATTCCATTCTTAATAGTGGGGACTAATAGGCCCATGATGAAAAAGCCAAGTAAACTGCTCCATTAGCTTATGGGAGTGTCCTAAATTCAAGATGGACAGGGTACAAAACCAAAACCAAAACTTGTATGTGGCCTGTGGCATTAAGAGGACTTTGAACACTTGCCATCTCAGTGCCTAATAGTTCTTCAGCAAGAGGCTGGCAGTGCTACAGACAAGGAGCTCTCCAATTTCAAGAAAACTCACTGTTCCATGGCATAGTTCTGATTGTAGGGAATAATTTTCTTTCTTAAAATATTTCCCTTGGATTGCATTAGTGTCCTATTCTAGCCCTTCAATCTGGAGTCTAAGACCCAGGTCTTGGTTTTGTGTGGCCGATTGTCAAATATTTAAAGTCAGTTTTTACATCTCAGAGTCATGTGTCTTCCAGACTTAACCTCCTCCTTTGCTTCAGCAGGTCTTTGTATGTCATAGTCTCCAGGACACCAGCCCTTCTTCTGAGCCCCCATCAAGCTGATTCTAGTTCTCAGAGTGTGGTATCCCCTAAACTGAACGTGCCATTCTAGGGATGGCTCCCCAATGCAGAGCAGAGCAGGGTGAAATCCTCTTTACATAACCCTTCAGTTGCATCTGGTTATGTTAACTTTTCCGGCAGTGACATCAGTTATACTATTGACTTACTGAACTTGAGGTTGAAGAAAACATCTAACAGCAAACAGGGCTTCATCACTCTGCACTTCTCCAGCCTGCTGTTACTGGGGGCCTGATAGCAGGATCTAGTGTCAATGACCAATATCTTTTATCCAGCTAATTCTGGTCTGATGTTTCTGCCTGCCAAAATCTTTTAGACTCTAATTATGTTATCCTCATTATTCAACAGCTTCAGGTTATCTACAAGTATAAATATCCCTTCTAAATCTGCATCTAAGCCTATCATAAAAAATGTACTGGACAGAGCCCCATGGCTCTCTGCTGGAAACCAGGTTGCCTCTGATCTATAAAACAGCATCTCGGGGTGCTGTTCAATCAGTTATTACTGATGACGTCATCTTACAGTAGCACCCAGCTAATATATCTATATCTTGTCCAGGAACATCAGGAAGCCTTTGGAAATAAAATGTCTTGCAGAATTTTGCCCTGTGGGGTTTCCACAGTTCCCTGATCTAATAACCTTGTCAAAAAGTGACCTAAAAGCCAGTATTACGTGATTGACTTCTATTGATCTTAGGCTGGTTTCTTGTGGTGATTTTGCTCTCCATATTTGCCTCAGATTGGTCAGACTAATTTCACCAACTTCCCACAATTCCTCAAAGACCAAAAGCAGGATTCTCTCACTATGTACACATTCCGGAGTATATTTTCTCCAGCAGTTACCATTCTCTTTTGATTTCTTTTCACCAATCTTTAGTTCCTGCTCTTTCTTACCTAATTTTGTTGCACTCTTTTCAGTTTGAGGATAATTTTCTTTCAGAACGGTGAAGTCAAAATTAAATAACAATTGCAGAACTTGACTCTTCCCTGAATCGTTCATCAACACGACACTAAACAGCACTAGCCTGTCTTGATCTTTATGGCTCAATTATTTTTTTAAATGGGCCTCTGTCTTTTGTTGCCGCCTGTATGATCACTATCATTATTATTATTATGTTTTGGTAAGAATGTTTATCCCAGGATTGATTCAGCTTTCCTGACACTATTCTTAAAGTTCACAGCCATTTTCCTATATTTATTGTTGAGAACATCCTCATCTTTTTAACCTCTGCATGTGATCTTTCAAAATCTGAGTCCACGGAAGGAAACGCCAGTTTGCATTTTTGAGAGCTTTTGATCCTCTTCTCCATCTGATATGGTTTGGCTGTGTCACCACCCAAATCTCATCTTGAATTGTAGCACACATAATCTCCATGTGTTATAGGAGGGACCCGGTGGGAGATAACTGAATTATGGCGACAGTTTCCCCCACACTGTTCTCGTGGTGGTGAATAAGTCTCACGAGATCTGATGGTTTTATAAGGGGAAGCTTCTTTCCTTTGAGTCTCAGTTCTCTCTCTTGCCTGCTGCCATGTAAGATGTGCCTTTTACCTTCCACCATGATTGTGAGGCCGCCCCAGCCACGTGGAACTGTGAGCCCATTAAACTTCTTTTTCTTTATAAATTACCCAGTCTTGGGTATGTTTTTATCAGCAGTGAGAAAACAGACTAATACACCGTCTGACCTCTGCTTACACCTCTGCGTATCCTCACTCACGTTTCTACACATACAGTGTCTCTGTGCATATTTCTATCTATAGGGCTCCTTTCCTACTATGACTATTTTTTTTATAGCAGGATATACCCTTTTATTACCATGATCTGACCTTGAATCAGATGAGGGTTCAACAACAATTTCACAAGAATTTAATAAATATTCATGGGTGCTTACTGTGTGCCAGGCACTAAGTCTGGAGGATTTCTGTGAGCATGGATACCATGCTCTGTGTTAGAATTTCTGGCTGACTTGGTTTATGATTCTGCTCTGTGCCTGGATAGAGAGACACATGAGGCCATAACTAGTGTTTCTGGTCATCTGGAGTGTCTCCTCATATAGATCATGAAGCATTTCCTGTGCCAGTTGCAACCTGTCCATGTCAGTCCTGCCACCCTCTGGAGTCACAGGTCTCGAGGATCTGGGTATTTTTCCTCCATATTTGGCCAAAGTCCTGTTTGTCAAGAAAGGCTGTGCCAGGTGGAACACCATTTTTGACTCACTGTGGTTGAACAATCCCATAAGAAAATCATGCTTTAGAAGCAGAAGCCTGGAAACCAATTCATCTTTAACAAGAGGTCCTCCGGTTGCTCGTCGTTCATGTACCTGAGCATCCTCTGGGGATCTGGTTAAGAATGCAGATTCCAGGCTGTTTCAGGCAGGGATTCTGATAAGAGCTGGAAAGCCACATCTTCACAAAGTGCCTGGTGACAGGGACCCAGTTTTGGGCCTCCTGGAGCAGCAGTGCCCACACCTGGCCACCTCTTTGCTGGCTCCTGCTGGCCTCAGCTCCATGTGCCTAGCTCTTTGGGTCAGGTTTGCCACGGTCACCTGTGTTTTCCCAAGTAGCTCGGCAACTTCTTCTCTGGGCTGAAAGCTTTGCTTGTCTTCATCTGCCACGCTTGGGAATCCTTAGTAACGTGTACCTCACCTGCAGGAAGGCCGTTTCCGCTCCTGCACGGTTTTCCTGCGTCCCTTTCCTCCACCTCCTCTTGACTTGGTTTTGCACCTCCCTACCTTCCTGGAGTTGCGTGCTTCCTGGTTCCTCTTTGTCACGCTCCTCAGGCACGTGGCCAGCCTGTGTTTCATACCAAGCACGGGAAGGTGGACACTCCTCAGTGCTTCCTGGTTCATCTGGGACTTGCACCAGAGTAGGTGCTTGTTTGGAATGAGAACTGGAGCATTTCAAAGTCTGTTCGCAGGATGGCTTGGCAGAAAGCATGGGGGCTCACAGGACCGGGGCTCCTCTGACCCTAGAAGGCTGCCATTGGAGGTGGATCTTTCTGTGGCTTTCTTGGTCACTGACTGGCTGTCTAGCTCATAAACATACTTATGACATTTCGTGGTTACCCAGAGCCCAGGAGCTGCTAAATCTACCTATTCTTTGTCCCTGTTTGTCACACTTGTGCTGTTCCATTGGCTGGACGCAGTCATATACCTGTGCTCTCCAGAAAGATAGATTGGAAACTATAGTTAGAAGGGGAAAGAAAAACCTCCATAAATTTTTAGGGAATTGTGTTTCAGTCTTTGTGATAATGACCATCCTCCCACCCCAAGTAACTGCAGGAACCTGGGGTGTCACTGAGCCTGGCTTGGAGGCTCCAACACAGCCCATATCTTTGGCTCAGGCCACCAATGTCACAGTATTTGATCAGTGGACGTTTCCTGTGGGTGGTCAGACTTTTACTAAACGCTCAGTAATGTTGGCTTTAAGGAACTCCATATTGGAAAGAGACATAGCTGCAAAACGTGCCCATGCAGAGCAAATACACATGGTACTTCTAACCCCGATGAAACAGACGTAATTAGCTATGTTAATAAAGGCAATGAAGGGCAAATGAAACCATGACTTTGGTGGGCCCCTCTGTGGGGTGGGTCCACGTGGTGTGAACAGGCTCCCGTCCCCTCTGCTGCATACTCCAGCCTTTCCCACTGCCTTTCTCCTCTCCCACATCCTTTCAAGCTTAGCACTGGCACTTGACTGGCAATTACCCAGTAAATGACTTTCGGAATCCTTCTTATGAATATTTAATAAATCCTCAGATTTTCTCAGTGGTCATGCTTGCTGACTTTGAGATGATTGTGGTTCGTGGGGCTCCGTGGGAGCACACATGCTGAAAAAAGTCCCCAGTGAACCGATGTAGCCTGTGAAACACTCCTCGGCACGTGCTGGTGGTGTGTGCCTGTCCTCTGCCTCTCCCTTCCCCCTAATGGGGTTTCTGGCTCCTAATTCCATTTAACCACATTTGTGCTACAAAATTTAGCAGCCATGGAGAGGGGGAGGGAGGGGAGATGATGGGGGAATCTAATTTACTGCTGCCATGACTACAGATGTGAAATAAATCTGTGAATCAGGGATGGGTCAATCCCACTAAAGCTGAATTTAAATCATTAATGATGGCAAGAAATGCTAATCAGTCTGCCACCCCCAGGCTCCCAGAGTGAGGATTTGGGGGCTTAATTGGGTAGAGAATGAAGTTCCTTAATGCAATTTTGCCAGACTCTCTCCTGTGTGTCTTAGCTGTCGGCATGAAGGTTCACTGCATGGATAGTATCGGTGGGTTCTGAATCGGGGCTGGCTTCGACCCCATGCTGAGACTGTCTGAGGTGGGCCCATGTCCCATTTTCCATTTTCCACATGATTATCTGGATATGGCCCGTCACCCCAGGGAGCCAGTGTGTAATCTGGGAATAAAATGGCCTGCGTCCCTGAGGGAAATTGTGCCTGTGCTCGTATAGAACAAGACTAGGAAGACGAATGAAAAACAGGGGAGGAGGCGGAAAGATGGAAGAAGCTATTTGCTTCAGCACTTCGCTGATGCTCTTTCTCTGAGGGGGGTCTGGGATGGGAGGAAGCAGGAAGCAAGGCTCGGAGAGGAGTTAACATCTTATCCAAAACCAGACCTCAGAGGGCAGTGGAAACAGTAGGGTATCATTAGCCTGAGAGACGATACGCGTCACAATATTGGCCATGCACAGAATGCTGCCAGAGCTGTCCTCCCCAGCCCCCAGAGCCGCTGACAGAGCGTGGCTCCCTCACCGGCAGTCCCGTCATAGTGCCAGTCTGTCTGACTGGCCTGGCTCCTCCTGTACAGTGTACGTAGCGACTCAGAAGACGCCGTGGCAGATCCGGAGATGGGAGAAGGAGCAGTAAAAGGCAACGGGACTCGCAGGAAGGTCACCTGAGAGGGGCCAGCGTCTGGGCTCCTGTCGGAGGGGAGAACAGGAAGGTCAACTTCCAGACAAGGGCCAGGTCAAGAATCCCTTCTAAGGCACGCTGGGGGTTGACGTCCAGACCCAGACGGTGGACATCTCGAGGTTTGAAGAGGCCACCTGTGAATCATGAGTAATAGGCCAGTGTGTCGTCACTCTGGGCAGCAGAGCCACACACTGCCACTGCTGCTTCACGACACCATGAGAAGATCTGTGGGTGCCTTCAAAGGCCACCGGGCCAGGTGATCGTAACTGACAGACATTCCAGAAGGTTCTCCTTCCTTCCCGGCACACAACCCTGCTTATTCTAGTGGCTCTCCCTGCCTCACAGTTGTTTTGGGCAGAGTGGAAAAGATACTGAATGAGATGCTGCAGCAGTTTAAAATCAAGCACTGATGTCTGTCACTGCAGTGGGCTCCCCACAAGCACTACCACCATTAAGAAGGCTTTCGAAGGGCCTGGTGGCAGGGCACTGGGTGCGAGGTGCAGGCCCCACTACCTGGCAGCTTAGGATCAAGAGGGGTGACCCTGAGACATCAACCCACTCTATTTTCTTTATCAGGAGTCTCTGGCTTTTAACTAGGGGCAAGAAACTGTAATTCAAATGAATGAGACAGGTCTTTGGGGTGTTTTGGCTCTGGTGTTATTTCATGTCAACTGGTCCAGTTGGCAGTGATGGGCACAAGAAAAATGCCCAACATACAAATAGAAAATGCCCAACATATAAATAGATGGTGGCTATGGTTGATAGAAAAGGTATAGAGTTTGGTGTCAGCTCTTGACGCCTGAGCTTACGTGTTGGCTCTTGCAACACAGCAGAGGTGCTTGGGGTAAGCGACTTGTTTGCTGTTGCTCTTGCAGGGGAAGAAAGATTGGCCTGTCCCCATCTGCACCAGGGAATTCAGTGTAGGGGCAGTGGGTGGGGTAAGGGCAGGAGTCTGGGTAAGGGCTCAGGCAAAGAGGTGGAGGGAGGGAGCAGAAGGCTGCTTGTTCTCACAGCTGGGTGCCCTGGGAAGGCTCCCTTCAGGGTCTGTAGGAGTTACAGGCAGATCTTGTGGGTGCCTCTGAGGGACCAGTAGGGGAGCTTGGGTCTGTGCCAGTCTTGCAGGCTGGGGCAGAGCAGCTGTGTTCTCAGGACACACATCAAGAAGGGGCCCTGGGCAAGTGGCCAGATGTTTGGGTCCTAGGTCAGGTGCCCGAATGGATGAAGAACAGGCAGATGCAAGTGAGTTCTTTAGGCCTGTGTTAACTCTTGCCCTGCTGCAGGCCCCCAAGGCCAGGTGAGGAGTCTCTCCAGGGCCTCAGTTTCTTTATCCTTCTAGCAAGATGATGCCTGTCATATATCACTCACCTGGTACCCACGGGGACCCACAGAGGCGATGCTAGTCCTCGTGAAAGGACTTGGAAAAGTCAAATCTGCCTAACAAACTTAGAGAGTTATCTCAGAATATTAGCCTCTCTGGTCATTTCTACCATGATGTACATTTCCCCACTACCGTTTCTGGGGTTCCTGCCAGGGCTCACCTCCCGGGAAGCAGAGCGGGTTCCTAGGCTGAATGCTAGCTCCATGTTCCATTGCAGTGGAGACGCCACAGGGAGGAGCTGCTGGATCCTGGGTCCTGGGGAGTTGGACCGCTTGAGGCCTGCTTCTGCAGTGCTTTAGCAAGGGGAGGGCCGGGCGTGGGCCTGGAGGACCTTCAGCAAGTGGGGAAGGGGGAGAGGGAGCTGCTCCCAGCCTGGGCTGGCGAATAGCCTTTCTGTTTATAAGGGACGCATGGCACGCTTCCTGTACCTGCTATCCTTCCCCAACTCTTGCCTCTCGCACACGTGCACGTGTGAATGTAACACTTGTTGCTTAAAGGAGTCTGTGGAAGGTTTGGGTCCTCGGCTTTCTTACGTGAAGAATATCCTGGGCCTCTCTAAGAACTTGGAGGCCCAGATCAGGCCCCTGGGGGACCCAAGCCTGGTGTGGACACCAGGAAGCCTCCCCAGGGCCTCTCTGATCCTCACAGCTCTCCATGGGCCCTGGGAGCGCATTGGAAACCCTCCTCAGCTAAAATATACAGAGGATTGGCCAAGTGCGAGTGTTTGGAATAAAGCTGACCGGGAATCCTGACTCTTGTTTCAGGCATGCTAAGCTTTCTGCCCGGTGGTTTGTGGGGTGCAGAACGGAGGGTGACACGGATCTGCGGCACTTACTGAGAGCGTGCTGTGTCCTGGCCACTGTTTAGCCTCCCTCTTAGTAAATACATATATCATTCTCACCCAAACCCCGTGAGACTGGAACTCTTCCTCTCCCCATTTTACAGATGAAGAGACTGAGGTACAAGGAGATTAAGTGGCTGCCCTGTAGATGCTTGGTGGAGGAGCTGTTTCAAACCCAGACGGTCTGGCTCCAAAGGCCCTGTTCTCAATATCTTTAAGGTGGTGACATCACTGTTGGGCCCCTTCCCTGTGTCTGGCCACATTGCTTCACTTGCTTTGAGTGTCAGCGCTCGGGGTGAACAGGGGTCTTTGGAAAGCCACTCCCTGTCTGCGCATCGCCTGCAGTAGAGTTAGCTGTCAGAGGCCTTGCAGCGCCCCTGGAGGTGTGCAGTGGGGAATAGAGTGGCCAGTGCAGAGCTGAAGTGGGGGCTGCCTCACCAGCTGAAGTGGCAGGCCCGTGTGGGAGCCCTGTGCCCACAAGTTGTAACTTATGGGTTCCCTACATGGCAAAACTGGGATTTCGTTCCTACTTCTTGCCATAACCCAACTGGCCCTCTGCTTTTTTTTTAGATCTAGTTTTAACCCACTTCACCAGTGGAGAAAAATCATCCTTTGGGGGCAAATTGTAGGGTATAAGACACAAAGCCAAGGACAAGGCTGGTGTGCCCCTGCGGTGGCTTTCCAGAGCTGGGCACGTAGCAGGCCCAGCATATTCCACAGAGGCTCACTTATTCCACAGAGACTCCGTCCACCATCTTAGCGTGTGCCAAGTCCTGCCACAGGATTTTAATGAGTTTTCACTGAATGAGAATTCAGACCTTGGAAATATGCCTGAGCTTATTCTCTTCCTGGACAGACTGCACCATCCCTTAGGGGAAATCATTCATCTGCTCTCCTGAGAGGCCTGCTAGGGAGCCCTCTGCAGTCTCTCCTGGTTGAGACCTTTCCCCAGACTCAGAAGATCTCTGCCTCTTTCATCTCTAGTGGTTCTGAGTACCCAGGACTCTGATCTTAGGACCCACCCCACTCAGTGACTGAGCGGCAGACGCAGGCAGGGTTGTAACTTCTGGGAGCCCCCACTAAACTCCTTCCTCCCCTACTCCATGCTGTGCCCTGCCTTGGGTTCTCCAAGGGCTCCTGAAACTCTGGAGTTTCCATCTGATTTATCCCAAAAGAAAACGATTACCTTGTATCACGAAGAAACATGGTGTGTGATGAATAACTTGCCTTGGGTTCTACTGAAAGAAAGAACAACAAAAAAAAAATTGGCAAAAAAGCATCTTTCTATTTAAAAATGTGTTGTTAAGTACGTGACACTAGGGTTGGGGTGGAGAGGGCCCCAGTCATAGAAATTTTCTATTTTTACTTTAGTACTGTCTCTTAATGGTTTCCTTTAAAAATTACTAGGTTGAAATTTTGTAAAATTAGAACTCAAGCAGATACTTTTCAGGCAATCATGGATTTTGGAAATTCGAGTTTGCTTTGCTTGTCTCTATGGTTATCCGGAAGTCGCCTCTGTCCCGGGATGAAGGGCGTCTGTACAGCAGAGGTGACTGAGGTGCAGGGATATAATGTATTTTAAGAATTATTTTTAATTTTAAAGGACCTGCTTGTGTCACGTAATCACCTGATTGTTTGCCTTGAATGATATGGCATCAAGAATTTCTTGTACACTTGGGATAAAATACGCCACCAATTCTAATAATACGAAGTGGCAATGGAGAAACGGAAGCAATGGAGAAACGAGAACCAGAACATTTAAATTGGGAAGGGAAAGGTGAACACTTGCACTTATCCATAGCTTACCCATGCAACAAAACACCATTGAGGAATATCCCTTGCCTATTAAAATGATCTCTGTAAAAATTAAGCAGCATGGGCAAATGGCGAAGTTAGAATACTAGGTTACAAACGTAAAATACTAACTTGTATAGAGAGCATGTTTAAAAAAGTAAAAACCAAACCACACAACAAGGGCCATCACTATCAAAAATGCAAACAATGCCAGCAGAAAGACAGAATACCGATCACTTACGTGCGCATTAGCTTCACTTACATGTGAATGTTTGCAGGTTGGGGGACATCTTTCTACTTTTTACTTTTCAACTTTTCCATTTTTTTAAAGAAAGGAACAAGAAGAGATTTTTTTTTTTGATGGCACTTTTCTAAAATTAAAATAGGTACACAACTTATGAAAAAGCAGAAACAAAGCGTGAAAGGAGGAGAGGAGGAAAGGAAGAGAAGCTACTGGAAGGGAAGAGAAAGTCTGGGAGCCTGTCCTGGCCCTTCTAATGCTTTTCTGTGACTTCGGAGTAGTCACATACTCTATCTCTAGCTCCAAGTTGCTTATCTGTGAAATGGGCATGGAGAGAATGGTTGGGACAATTAAAGGAGATAGAGATTGTGAAATAGACAATATGCACCCTTTGCCATTGGACTATGCTCCTTAAGGGTAATTGGGACAAGACGCGTGTAGAAAATGATTCTGTTTGTTGGGAGCACAGTGGAGGCAGAAGCAACCGGCTCTGGGGCTCAGCATCCCCCAACCCACCAGTGGCTGACTCAAGGTCACCAGTGGCTGACTCTATGTCTCATCTCTGCCTTGTTAGCATCTCTTGCACCTGTCTTCTGAAATTTCCAGAATTGCTAGGTTCCCTGTTGAAAATGGTAGTTGGGACACCAACTCTCAACTGGAAACGGCAACTGAATGACAGCATTTAGGTCAGACGGCATTCCGAGCTGCTGAGGAGGAACTAGTGGGGTAAAGAAAATAAAATCCAATGCATTATGTGCATCAAAAGATTAGGCAAGGCTGAGCGCTGTGGCTCATGCCTGTAATCCCAGCACTTTGGGAGGTCAAGGTGGGCAGATCATGAGGTTGGGAGTTCGAGACCAGCATGGCCAAGAGACCAGCTCGGCCAACATGGTGAAACTCCATCTCTACTAAAAATACAAAAATTAGCCAGGCATGGTGGCAGGTGCCTATAATCGCAGCTACTCAGGAGGCTGAGGCAGGAGAATTGGTTGAACCTGGGAGGCGGAGGTTGCAGTGAGCTGAGATTGTGCCACTGCACTCCAGCATGGGTGACAGACTGAGAGAGCAAGACTCTGTCTAAAAAAAAAAAAAAAAAAAAGGCAAAAACATGATGAATCAATGTACTGGGACATATCTACAGCCACAGGGCAGAATTATTATTAGGAATGTCTTAAAAAAAATACTAAAAGGAGGTCTCATTATCGGGTGGTTTCACTCTACAGTAGGTTCTATTGCAGCAGGAGAGCAATGTAGCCTGTAGGCCCTTCTAGCACCTTTCTTGTTGTAAGATTAGAAGAGTATTTTATACCTTACAGTTGTATGGTCCAGGGGAACTTTCAAAGCAGTTTCAGATATGTTGCAACCCATTGTGAGAAAGGTGTTTTGAAACATGGGAAAACTGAGACCTAGACATCCCCAAATCTAGGCCCCACCACGTGCTGGGTTTTTTGAGTTGGACACCACAGCACTCACACTCATGTTATACGTCCAAAATCTGAACTCCCATAGCAGGCCAGTCAGATGCAACTAACTAATTATTCACTGACAATTGATGCCGTATTTATATTCAAGTTGCTCACCTAATTTTACTGGATTTCCCCATAAACTCTGGGGGGAATCAACCCTTTACGGAAGAGAGGTGGGTGGGGGTTGTTAGTCTGATGTAACCAGATTTGTCCAGAGCTATGGGAGTCCCTGAAGTTGACTGGCCTGTAGGGTGGCTGAATGGAGGGTACAGATCCCTCCCATAGCCTGGTTCATTGCATTTTTGTCTTTTGGTTATGTCCGTTTCACAAAGCAGGTAATGTGGCCAGGGGTGTGTGTGGCCAGGCACAAGTCAATGGCAAGGGAATAATAATACATCATGTAATATAATGATACTTATAATGGCTAACACTTCGTTAGGCCTTAAATGCTATGTGCTTGGCATATCGCTTAATCGTTTACCTAATTTAACCTTTAATTTTCCTACATATCCTATGAGGTAGATCTCGTGCTGTTCCTATTTACAATAAAGACAACTAAGACATGGAGAGGTTAAGTCACTTGCCCAAGCTCATGCAGCTAGTGAGAGGGAGAGAGCTGGCGTTCAAACGGAGGTAGTCAAGCTCCTGAGAGAAAGGAAAATGTGCTCTTGTGACAGACTCCCATCTGCTGTTAAGTAGACAAAGAAATGGCACTCAGGCACCCGCTTCCCTGTCTGCTCCTGTGGCAGACATGACTAGTTGATCATAGCATTCTTTGCTGCTGAGCCCAGACAAGGCCTCAGATTTCTTCTCAATGTAGTTTTTCACTACTAACCTCTAGTAGTTAATGCATCAGCATGAGAGATAAGCCCATTTGTCATATCTAGGGCTCATTTTATAGATGCCAATTAACGGATAAACTTTAAATAAATGCGTGTGTACCTATGTATGTATGGGTGTGACTGGCTTTAGGAAGTGAATATATGATCACTTGATTCAATTTACATGTACTGAGCATCTGCTATAGGTCAGGAAGGCACTCTTGCTACTCACTGAGGTTCAATACAGGGGTAAACAAAGTTATATCTTAAGGGTATTAGCAGAATATTATACATAAAAATATTGATATATTTTTAGAAACATTAAGAAATTTTTTCTTAACCTGTTTTGTACAATCTGACTTGAAATCCTAGAATTTCATAGACCAAGATATTCTTCCATGAGTTTTGAAAGGCATTGATTTCAGCATCTCCCTAGTGTTTCTTCAGTGCCTCTCCAATTTTTGTTAGCAAGACATTTATTTTCAAAGTGTTTGCTTTATACACAGTTCCATTCCCTTGACAGCATTGTATTTATCCTACTCTGGTGGGTACTATATTTACAAAGATCCAGCACATAGAGGGGACATGTTAAGAATGCTTGATTCATACTGTGCAAGAGAAAAAGCCCCGAATGCTATTTTTCAGTATTAGAATTACATTTGATACTCGAACAGCAGGGATATTAGGATTCCAAGAGGGAGCTTAATGGTAGAGGCACACAGAAAAGAGAGTTTCCCAGCAATCGCGGAATCACTCTCTCAATGCAACAACTAAATTTCCAGGAGAGGAGTAGGAATCAAGGATGGTACATCTGCTTTGATGAAGAGGGACGTAAAGGTAAAATGCCTGAGTGGTTGCAGAGAATACCCAGCTTTTAGGATGTAGGTTGTGTGTAATCAGATTTTTAGGAATTTAAAAATGCAGGCTGTGTAGGATACTTGCAGTTGGTAGCAGAACTGGATCCAGGAAAATAGTCTAGTTCTACTTAAAAGCCAACATGAAGATGATGTGGGTGACCTGAACCTTTACCTTTCTGTGCTAGTTGAAAATGGCGGTGCTGTCGTGACAACAAGAGAGGACACCACAGGGCCATATGAGCGAATGCATGAGTCACTGCTAGCAAACAGCACAAGGAGGCTGCTGCCGAATCGTAAAACCCAACATGAGGAAGTGCTGCCAGTTGCTGGAACAGTGTTGGAAAAACATTAGCCCTTGGATGAGAAAAATCACTCCAAAGTCAAATACTTAACCACAGACTGAAATGATTCCTTTAAGGGGGCAGAGTGGGTATCCTGAGGTGCATATCAGTGTCTGTTGACCTAGCAACAGAATGTAGGCATGGATTCCAGGAAGTAGAGATCTCTGATAAAACAGTTCACCGAATGGCATTTTAAAAAAGTAACAAGAAATTGGAAGTAATAAATGGTCAATGCTAAGAGATGGATGAAAAATATTATAGCTTCTCAATACAACGCAATGTAATGAAGTCATTAAAAATTTTTTTGAAAGCTTAACATTAAACATGTACAGTATTAAATGATATATCAGTATACATGTTTAATTATAATCATATAAATATATAAGTATATCTTTGAAAGCAGGCTACAGACATATAAAGCATGATCCTTTTATAAAAGGGATGTGTGTGTATGTGTATCTATATGTGTATATGAATATATGCATGTGTGTGTATATATATATATAAAATATACATCTGGGGAAGACATCAAAAGTGTAGAAAGTGATTATCATCTCTGATAGTCAAGTGGTGGTGATTTTTGCTTTCTTCTTTTTGCTTATATATAGTTTCTTTCTTTCTTCTCTCTTTTTTTTTAATAGATGAGCATTCTGTCACCCAGGCTACTCAAAATCCTGGGCTCAAGTGATCCTCCCATCCCAGCCTCCTCGGTAGCTGGGACCACAGGCATGCGCCACCACACCTGACTCAATTTTAAAATTTTTTATAGAGACGAGGTGTTGGCATGTTGCCCAGGCTGGTCTCAAACTTCTGGCTTCACGCTATCCTCCTGCCTTGGCCTCCCAAACTGCTGGAATTGCAGGTGTGAGCCACTATGCCTGGCCTACTTATATATAGTTTCTAAAACATCTGCAATGAACATGTATTACTTACGTAACATGAAAAAGGAAAGATACAAACAATAACCCTTATTACAAACAGGTGCTTTATGTTTCTGAAGCCCTCCTGCCTGCTTTGCTGGTGCAGTGCTTTAGGGCAAGGCTATTGTATTACAGTTGTGAGCAGAACTTGGTCAGTAAATGCATCTTCCTACCTGTCAGCACCATGTTTAGGGTTGCCAATTTTCGCTCTGGATCTTTCTCAGGTTTGTGCTTTTTTCCTGGGCATCGTAGTCAACTAGAGCTACCATCCTTTGGGAGGCCCTCCTCCAGATACTCATCCCCTTCCAGATACTCTTTCTCATCCAGACCCTCTTTCCCATTCAGATACTTTTCCTCCCAGAGATGCTCTCCCTCCTCCAGATATTTACCTTCTTTCAGGTACTTTTTATACAAAATTTCTTTTCCATTCAGATTCTCTTTTTCCTCTAGAGCCTCTTTCTCCTCCAGATTCTCTTCCTTCTCCAGAACCTCTTCCTTCTCCAGAGCCTCTTCCTCTTCTGGATACTCTTCTTTCCCCAGATAGTCTTTCTCCTCCAGATCCTGTTCCTCCTCCAGATAGTCTTCCTTCCCCAGATACTCTTCTTCCTTCCCCAAATAATCTTCCTCCTCAAGATCCTCTTCCTCCTCCAGATCCTCTTCGTCCTCCAGAGACTCTCCCTCTGTAGAAAATGAAGATTCATCCTGTAGACTTTCCTCATCTAGTTCTACTTCAGTATCCTCGTTTTCTGAAGATAAAGTCTGTGTGGAACACTGGGGAGATAGGGGAGGGCGAGGAGGTGATGCTCCTGGTGACTGACTGTTTTCAGCAGACATGCTGGGGAAATCGTAGGCAGTGAACTCCTTCCACAGGAGCCAACGTCACTTCATCATCCTGTATCCAGGAAAAGAATAAAATCCTATTAGCCAGTAATAGCAATTGCATATTGATTTAAACCCATTTTTGTTCACTTATTCAGTAGTCTTTGGAGAGCTCTCAAGTATGCAGACCAGTACATAGTGACCAGTGAAAAAGGCACAAGAAGAGGAAATGGAGGCTTACCCTCAACACGCTGGGTGGGGAGACCACACCTGAAGGCCAGGCCTTCAGAATTGCTTGCTGCACAATATGAAGTCAATGGGTAGGGTTGGAAAGTAATCATTGTTTAGTGGTGCTATCACTAGAGAAGCTTTTTATTTTTCATTAAGTATTTATTGCCACAAAATATAAGACAGAGACTGTCTTCCAGGAGCTGGAAATCTGGAGAGAAAGGAGTCACAACAAACAGAGTGACCAACACGATGGAAGGGGTGCCCATTGAGTGGGATGGACACAGCAGCTGGGGCTTCTGGTCAGTTAAGACCCCTGTGGCCAGAAGTCTGTGGGGCACATCCTCATGGCTGCCAAATGCACTGTCAACCCTGCCCGCAGCACCATCCACCGTCAGCTCACTAGGCAAATGCTACATATGTTTTAACACTGAGCATCTTGACGCCTCCTGGAAGGCTTCCAGGCTCCCTTTTCTGCTCCATCCATGTCTTCTATATTTTTTACTAAAGTAACTATTTTGCTATATTAAATTGTTTGCACGTTTGTCCTTCCAACAGTGTAAGCTCCTTAAAGGCAGGAGGGGGCAGTATCATTCTTTTTCGAAAATAGATTTTGAATCCTTCCACTGCCCGCCCCCCCGCCCCGCCCTTCTGCTCTGTGGCCCACTGTGGTTCCCCATGGTGAGCACATCTCTAGACTGACTTACCGGCTTTCCTGAGACCCCTGCCACTGCCCTGCTAGTCATTTACTGCAAAGAGTGTTCTTGTAAAAATATAAATCAAATCAGGATTTCCTTTGCTTAAAATCTCCCAGTGGCTTTCTGGTGTGCTTAGAATACGATGTCAACTCCGTTCCATGCCTGCCTGTCTTTCTGGCCTTATCTATCCCCATCCCTCCTCCCCTGTCCCCACCGTGTTACTATCTCCTACAGCACTTATCACTGTGGCTAATTATGCATCCATTTCTGTGCATACTTGTTCAATTTTTCTCTTCCACTAGGTGTAAGTGTCTCAATGATAGTGACCTTTTAAAAATCCGTTCCCCACTGTATCTCCGATGGTTAGCTTGGAGCCTGGTGCATAATAGATGTCCAGTAAATATATGGCCAGTGACTGAATGAAGGGCCAGGAAGAGGTGGCTCTATAGCAGTGCACCCTGAAGGTTTGCAAATGACATTTATTCTGCACAATAGGACACACTGGGGAGGCAACTGGTCCAGAATCCTTCTGCTTGCTCTGGGGACTTAAGAGATAGATATCTTGGCCTGCATCTTTCTGGGTATCTGAGTGGGCAGCTCTGTTCTAGGGAACCAGCCAGATGAGACCACCAGGATCAATGATAGCAAATGCAGCATGATGTCCAAGATGAGGGGTGTGATGGACAAGGCCATTCATCACGGGCAAACGGCACACTCCTCCACCCACATGACTGTTGGAGACCCTGGACTGCTGGATTCCGATAGGATTAGCCTGGGCAGTGAACACAGAAATGCACTACCCAGATCCCCTTTTCAAAGAAGGACTTGCTGCCCAGCTGTGAGGTGGCCCCCAGCTGCCAGCTCCTTCAGGATGTGCCTCAGCTGCAGAGTCCTTTCTAGTGATGCCCTTCTCGGGATAACCTGTATCTGAGGCAAGGTGAGGGTAAGAAAGCCCAGTCAACTCCAGGCAGCACACCTCTGAGAGGCCACATTCACCCCGGAGCTCTCCGGCAGGCTGACCGAGGCTCACCAAGCCTACTCCACAAATGCCATCTCCATCTGGCACAGGCCTGCTTCCTTCCCCGTCTTCCTTCCGGGGTGGACCCCAGGAAATGTTTTGTATCTCAACAGTTGCATCTCAGCAGTTTGCATTTTAGAGTCTGTTTCCAGAGAAACTATCCTGTGATAGCTTCACAAAATATCAATCTGGGAAAGAATTGACTGAAAGAGTTGGAGAGAAAAACAAGACCTCACTGGTGGATTGAGTGCTTAAAAGGTCAGTGGCTGAGGGTAGGGCATAACTGGATCTGTCTGGGGCAGGGAATGGTGGCCTTGCAGAGAGATGACAGTGTAGTGGCGAAGGGGGAGCCCGTACATAGAGAGTTTAAAACCCATCACGAAGCCTTTTGTGTTGGGTGGCATCAAAAGAGAAAATTGCAACAAATTTAGTTATTAATTGAATTGGATTTTATTCATGATTCATGAATAGAGCAGCCTCCATTCTACAAACAGAATGAGTCCCAGCAGGCAGTAGCAAAACAGTGGGTTCGGTGAGGTGGGAACACAGAAACAGAGCAATCAAAAAAAAGTAGATTGGCTAACATCAGGTTACTTTTCTTGGTAAGGGTTAAAGCGGAGAGAGGATTTGCTTATTATTCTCACTCAGGTAGACTGGAAGCTCCTGTTTTCAGGAAAACCTGCGCTGTTTTGGGATCTGTTTCCTTGCAGTTTCAGTTTGATTATGTGACACTTACCATGAGTAACCCCATTCTGGTTTGGTCTTGTCTCCTGGGGCCTAGTGCAGGAACTTGGTCCAAAACAATGGCTTCCCATAAGTGCTGCTGCACAGTGGTGATGGCGGAAGTGTTAGGATTAAAGCAACTCTGGAGCAAGATGATTCCCGTGGCCATTTGCCAGACAGTTAAGAAGCTGCGGAGACCGGAAGCTGAGCCTGCAGTTGGCTTGCCCTTTTATCCTTCATTTTATGGCTCTGTGGTCTGTGAATGTCTTTTCATGTAGGATGCCTCCAGTACTTTTTTTTTTTTTGAGAGAGAGAGTGAGTCGCTCTGTCACCCACGCTGGAGAGCAATGGCACAATCTAGCTCCTCCAGGACTTTTTGGAGGAGGAGGTGAGGTATAAATAATACATGAACTGATGGTGGAGGACACTGTCCGTGGGGCAAAGGATGAGCTATGAAAGGCTTTTGGACCCACCCACAGCTATCCATCCTAAAGAATGTCCCTTCAGCTTTATTCATCTAAACCCTCAATATACCACCTATTATTGCTGTACATTCCTAATGCCCACTGGCTCCCAATGCCTCGGCCTAAGACAGGGCTGGGATGGCAAGAGCCACTGAAGGGAGGTGACAAGAATTCTTCTCTTGACCAAACTCCAGTCAGGCTCCTGAACCTTCTCCCAGACCTATCTGTGCACTTCCTTGTAAAATCCAGTTTCGTTTTAATTTTTTTCTTTATTTTGTAAAAATTAATGGGGTGCAAGTGTAATTTTGTTACATTCATAGGTTGTGTGTAAAGTCAGGGTTTTTAGGGTCTCCAACACCCAAATAACATAGATTGTACTCATTAAGTAATTTCTTGTTACAATAATTTCTCACCATCCACTCCTCTCCCACTCCCTCACTCTTTTGAGTCTCCATCATCTATTTTTCCACACTCTGTGCCTACTCAGAAGTGAGAGCATGTGGCATTTGTCTTTCCGTGACTGCCTTGTTTCACTTAAGATAATGGCCTCCAGTTTCATCCATGTCGTTGGGGAAGACACGACTTCGTTCCTTTATGAGACCACAGTATTCTATTTTGTACATATGCCACATTTTCTTCAATCATCTGTTGGTGGACACTTAGGTTGATTCTATATCTTTGCTATTGTGAATAGTGCTATGATAAACATACAGGTGCAGGTATCTTTTTGATGTAATGATTTCTTTTCCTCTGAGCTGATACCCAGGAGTGGGATTGCTGGATTAAATGGTAGTTCTATGAAGTCCAGTTTTAGAAAGAAACCTGCTAAGTCAATTTAGCAAGAACCCCTCCCCGTCCTCCACATCTAACCATCCTTGTTATCTGATTAGATTCCTCATCCTCCCCAAGCCCCAGGAGATGTCTGAGAACCCTGGCCTGCCTTCAGCAAGAATCCTGTCAGGCTGGTTTAGCCTGAATCTCCCTTAACCCCTGATGTTTCTTGTTAATTTCCCATCTACCCTGATGATGTCTTGATGTTTCCTCTAAGTTAATTTTCTGTTCATTGATTCCCCACTCACTCTGCTCCTTGGCTATAAATTTCCATTTGCCCACGCTGTGTTCAGAATTGAGTCCAGTTCAATACTGGGATTTCTTTTCTCCTATTGCATTAGTTTCTGAGTAAAACATATTTTTGCTGTCAGACATGGTGGTGCGCACTGGTAGTACCAGCCACTTGGGAGGCTGAAGCAGAAAGAATCACCCAGGAGTTCAAGTCCAGCCTCGGGAACGTACTGGTAGCCTATCTCTAAGCAATTTAAAAAATATATGTATTTTTGGCTTAGATGGCTGTCCAGCTTTGGTTTTCTTTGACAGCCAGTCTGTCCAGCCCTTCCCTGGGGGCGGTGAGGAGCACACATAGGCACTGGCCACTCCATCAAAGACTTATGCTTCAGGGTTCCCCACCTCTCAGATTCTTGGGGCTGCCTAAGAGATCAAAATCAGCTGGTCCCCTGGATAGCCCAGGGAGCATTTATCAATGGCACGCTGTCATTCAGGGTGACAGGTCTTTTCTTCCTGTTTTCTCATCAGGCCTTGTAAAAAGGCTTCAGTCAGCTGCATTCTTATTTCAAAGTTCAGAAAAAGAAACTGCATTCTAAGCACTCGCCCTTTAATTCTCTTAGAAGTTTGTAAGAGAAGCCTACAGGTGGAATAAATAGTAAGGGCAACTTGATACCTAGTGTCTGGAGCAAACATCCTGGTTCCAACTTGTGATTCAGACCCTGACCCATTTGAGAACAACAGGACCTATCTCCTTGAAGGATGCAATGAGGCAGTGTGTACAGGCATAAGGAGTGCCAGGCACAGATGTGAGCTGTGCTGTTATTACTGCACATTTATTCCTAACCAGCTCTGAAGGTGCATGTGTGTAAATGTC